TGGGTATAATGTTGCACTGCAATCTCTCTGAGGGCGGACATTTCAACGTTGCTGCAATCCTCCAGAAACGTTGCAGCATGTTGCGCAACGTTGCTGCAATATTGCAATCTTGCAATGTAACATTTCTGCAATCTTTTTGTGCTGTGTGGGTAAGGGTCGGTTGGATATTTCTGTCGCGCGCGACAACTTTCGCGGGGCAAAGCCACGTAGAGCGTTCGACCTGTCTTCGAACGCACCGGGGATTTCGCGGCAAACACGCGCGGTGCGTCCGGCGAGTGCGTTTTCCGAACGCAGCGCAGCGGCCGCAACGCGCGCGCGCGGGCAATCTACCGGCATGTGCCGCGTGTTTCGTGACAGGAGGTTCGGAGCATCGGATGGATTTGTCGACGGGACGACGATCGTACAAGCCGCCGCCGCCGCCGCCGCCGCCGCCGCCGACTCCGCACCTGGCGTCGACGTGACGTTGCAAGGTCGCGCGCGGTTCCACGCTCCGCGCTAAACACGACCGTGGTCCTTGAGGTTATGGTGTGCCTAGCCACTCGCTCGCTTGGCGGGAGACACGGCGCACGGTCGACCTCGCTACCCCACGGACTCTAGGTCGCCTTCCCGACGCGGCACCTCTCCCTCGTTTTCTCCTTTTAGCGCGCCTTTTTAATCTCCATTTTTCATCAGACACAACATGGAGCCGGAGCGTAGCGCGGCGTTCGATTCCGCGGTTATGTGCGCTCCGATTCTTTTGATAATCGCTACGTCGTTGACGATCTGCTACAGGCTGAGGTGAGTCGTCGCGCGTTTCACGCGCGTCCCCCCCTCCGCCCCCCTCCCCGCGTCGCGGCCTCGCTCATCGCGTTTACGCGTTTTGCAGAGCGAGATTGGCGGTGAGGGTGAACTGCTGGTTCTGCAACAAGAACACGAAGGTCTGGAGGCAGCACTTGGACTGGTGGCTGTGTCCCTGGTGCGAGCAGTACAACGGCTTTTCCAAGGTAGATCGCAGCCTGCCTCCTGTCATCTGTTTCTCTTACCTCACACTTACCGTTCCTCCGTTGGAAGACACTGTTTCTTTTATATTGTTAAAGGTCCTCTTATTATGGGATAGGATTATAATACGAGAGAGCCCACACATCACAGAAAGATTGCAGGAAGATTGCAGGAAGATTGCAGAAATGTTACATTGTAAGATTGCAATATTGCAGCAATGTTGCGCAACATTGCTGCAACGTTTCTGGAGGATTGCAGCAACGTTGAAATGTCCGCCCTCAGAGAGATTGCAGTGCAATATTTTTGGAATAATTTGTTGTTGTACATAAGCAGAGAATTTACTAATTACATATGCATCCGGGCCTTTTCCAATACACAGCAAGCTGTTGCGAAGCAACCTAAGGAGATTATGTCGCTTCGCAATAGATGGAGATTGCGAGCAACACCGCACTGATCAAGTACTTAATAATTCGCGCATTATTGGTATCAACGAAAATAACATTATAAAATTATCGTAATTAGAAAAAATTTTTTAATAGAAAATATAGTATTATATTTTAATTATTTTTCAAACATTGCTGCAACATTGCTATTGAAAGTTTACAATTTTATATCCCTGCAATGTCTCTGCAAGATTGCAACGTTTCTGCAATGTATAATATGCAACTGCAACCACCTGTGCTGTATGGGAGAGAGAGAGAGCGCGCAGGTTTTCAACGTCCAAATTCAATCACAAATCTATTCTTCACAACGATTACACGATCTAACAATCAATTTCCCACGAAACAGATTTCACTCCAAGGGCCGTAAATTCATGGTGGAGCCAACAGACGATGCCTATTAATGTAGCAGAAACTCCGCTGTCTCATATTAGCAGCCTATCTCATAACAGGGGACTTTACTTCCTAATGTGATGTCTCAACGGGTACAAAATACTTGTTCCAGAACGGTGATTATTCGTACGATATTCCGGAGCAGTATGCAACGTCGAACGTTCGTACGAGATACTGCAGCCCGTCCGAGGATGGCGACGACTGTCGCGACCTCAGGGGTAAACTCTGTACGTACTGCAACAAGCGGGAGGGTCTGAAATTGTTGGAACTGTCCAACTTTGAGCCCAAGAGCAAGAGGCTGTTCGACGCGGAGCTGAAGGCGTTTAAGATGTATCTGGAGGAAAGGTATCCGCTGTGCGACAGCTGCAAGCTGACGGTGCGAGACGTGTTGCGCAGGCAGGCGGTGTGGCTGACGCGCTACAAGATGCAGTTCTTCAGGCGGAAACCAATCCGGACGCTCGTCGACGTGAGTGCATTTGCGGAAAGGGCGTCGTTGTGAGATTAATGTCCCGAGCTTTCTCTGCGTCGCAAATCTCACTCGACGTTTCCATTAACGACGTGCGGTTGTGGCAACAAATAATCACCGGTTGGTGCTCTTGCAGAATGCGAGGAAGTTGGAAATGTTTTTCCGAGCTGTCTCGATGAGCCTGGTCTCGATGATCGTCTGCAATCACGACGTTGTCTGGCTGCCGATCGGTGGACTGTTCTTTCACCTGTGCGCCTGTTGGGCGAGCTCAACGAGGAACAGAAGTTCCGACGTGTTGTTGATCTTTTTGTGGCTCTGCATCGTTACCCTCGTGTCCGTCAAGAGCCTGGCGACACTTCAAAACGCCTGGCTTACAGCGGGGCACATAACGCAGTACCGCATGGCGAGTCAAACTAATGTGCAATTATCTTAGTACTTGAACGTATCCGTGTATGTACATTTAGCTTATCGGTCGATCTCTTTTCAGGTAACGGTATGCGCGCTTATTACAGCTCTGCTGAGCCTAAAATCAGGTATATACAAGAGTACGTTGACTGGCTCGCTGACGTTTAAGAAGATCAGGTTGCGCTCGCGAGACACCGCCGCGCCGCAGCTTGCGTATAACAGTCGAAGCGCAGACAGTATCGTTCCAAGCGCAACGAACGGCAGTATTAAATCGTCGGGCTGTGCGACGAACGAATTGTCTTCCACCGAGATCAAGTTCAGCAAGTCGCATTCAGCGATGCAAGTATCTTGTGCCACCTCTGTCGCACCTCTTACATACGTGAACGCTTCTGTTATTTCTATTTAGGAATAAAATTAATCGATGATCTAAGGCCAATATTTGAACGAGCTAAAACCGATTTATTGCCAATTTGCTATAGATGATAAAATTGTAACAAAAACTATTATATAGTCTAAAGGGACGCAACTAACTTAGAATTAGATTGTAAATAATGACGAATAAATAAATAAATTAATAGCCAAAGAATAAATATAATAATATAAATGACGTATGAATTGTCAACGAATAATATTACAGCGTATAAAATAGACAGGCGTGTCGAGTAAATTGTCAATGAATAAAATTAAAATGTATAACTAAAGACGGACGTTTCGACTACACTTACAATTAGTCATCCTCAGCGATAAGGTTTCCTATAATAATAATATTACATTGGTGTTAATAGTTGATGCTTTTGCGCGTGTCGAGTGGTGAGATGAATCGCGTTACTTGTTATAAGCTCAAGATTGTTCTCCTCTCCTGGTGGCATCCAGTAATGGTATTTTTTTTTCATAATCTATAGCAAATTGGTAATAAATCGGTTTTAGCTCGTTAAAATATTGGCCTTAGATCATCGATTAATTTCATTCCTTAATTGAAACGAGCTTGTTGTAATATTTTATTTCTATTTATTTGTAGATTGAGACAGAAACTGTTTACGATCACTGCTAACGGGGGTAGCAACGGTTACGTCGCCTCTCAGACTGAGAACAGTCCATCGGACAATTGCTGCTTGAACGACAGTTTGAGCACCCTGCTGCTGAGCGAGGATTCGCCGCGGTGCGGCAGGATCGCCAAGGTAGCGCCGATTTTCGAGCGCCGAGTGTACAACGCGACGAGCTCCGAGAATCTGTTCAGGAGGTCCGGCGGCGCGTACAGCAAGAGGAGGTGCATCCTGTCGCCGCCGCGGCTGAGACCGGTGACGCAGACGTCGTGGGTGGCGGGCGGTTACTGGCAGGAGGACATGATGACCGCTATGCCGCTGACGCTCTCGCGGTCGTCCAGCCAGAGCTCCGGCTTCGGGTCGGTCGGCTCCTCCAATCTCGCGCCCTCCCGCGAACCGTCCGTGCACGAGTTCGACCGGTGCTCGGTTGTGTCGGAGGCCACGCGATGGTCGTGCCAGACGCCACGGCCGGGCCCGGTCGCGAGGCACGACTCGCCTGTTCCCCGCCCGCAGTCGTGGCACTCGCGAGCGGTGCCGTCGTCGACGCGCTGCGCGGACGACTACCAGCTTCAGGAGAGCTGCGGGCCGAGCGTCGGGGACCCGAACGGCTCGGCGCCAGCGTACGCCGCTCATCACACGACGACGGTCGTCGCGAGCCCCGGCTGGCTGTCCGCGCTGCTCTGCGGCTCGCTGATACTGAACATGATAGTGCTGTGCACTACGCTGTTACGTTAACGTCGCGACGATCGGAATCGCGCGCGCGCCGGATTGTTGTGTGTTCACGCGGAATTTTTTATCAATCGTTTTATCAAAAGCGTTAATTGAACCTCGTCTCGGCGAGTCTGGTCGGCCCGACCAGGTGGGCCCTCCGTTCGGTCGTTTCTTCCTTTTCCTTTTCGCGATGCGATCTACTGCCGAATTAGATTCTAAGGAATTTAATCTTCGAACTTGCGATTACTTGGGGATAAGTAGTGGGTGGCACAATTACTGCCAATTAGAGGACGAGCGCCAATGCTCCGTTCTACTGCCGGAAAAATAGCAAGTACGACGTATTTACGTATTACGCTGCCAATCTACTTGTTCGTTGAACATATCTGTCATTTCTTTGCCTCTTTTGTTTTTCTCTTACTGGATACGTCCTCTCTCTTATAGAGACACACTGCTATACATTGTCTTCCGGTCTTCCGTCTCGAAATGTTTTTACAACTAATCTCGCCTTCCGTATTCACGTCAACATTTGCCTCGTTTTCCTTATCACCCTTGCTCTCCGCAAGTACACGCCCGTTTGCTATTTTCGTCGAGAGAGTGGCCTCTCGGATCTTAATTGCTCGGTCGTAGGGCTGGACTTTACGGGGCAATCCTCGCTCAATACCCATTTTGCGTTCCGAGTGCGATAGAATTTTGCGGATCTCGATTCGCAGAGTCGAGATGCGCGGCAACGAAGACTTCTCGCGTCTCGTTCTCTTCCGGGAATGACCTTGCCCGAAGGGCAATCGCCGTCAAGTATCTCGTAATTCGTTTGTATCAAGCGCACACCGAACAAGAGCACTTTACGTGACGCTTCTCCCCTGCGTACAGAATTATCCCGGGGAGAACGGGACGCGCGAATGCCTTTTCACGTTCTGTAATTAATATAGAAACGTCAAGCCTCAGTGAGAGATACATATGTAGCTTTAGCTATAAGTATACTTGTTTACGCGTTGCGCGCCGAATATCTCTTGTTTTCTACCTGTAATATTATTTATCGAAACAAAAGGACCGATTGTACATACTGCCGGGAATTTTGTAAAAAAAAAAAAGAGGGAAAAGGTGTACGTATGCAGGTCTTTTCTTAGCCTATGGATGAGGAAACTTGTTGTAATAATCTTGTTGCTTATTGTATTCCGATTATGATATGTTTTGATATCTACTGATATTGTACAATTCTATCGATGAGAATAAAACGTCAACTTTTACAATACTATCCATGGAGTGGTATCGCCTTTAATCCCGCCGAGAAGATAAATCCGTTTAACAAGAGCAGGAGAGAAGACAAGAATTTCATATAAATTAACCCCAAGAACATTAAGACGTTCCGCGTGATCTTATAAGGACTTGAGAAAGTATATGCAAATAAAATTAGCGAACTAGCAAAGGTTTAAAACCCCGTCAGCTCGAGGGCCGATATCGTCGCGAGTAGAGCGACATCAACGCAGGATTTTACGCACGCACAATAAGACGTGTACACGTATGATATATTTTGTTTTTATTATATTACCTTATAAATATATTTCTTTCGAAGATTATTTCGCCGGGACAATATGCGGTGCGACAATAAATAAATAAGTGAATACAGTCGTGTGATTTTCCTTGTTCTTTTCTTTCTCAATGTAAGCACTGTCGTTCTCGATAATTGAATAATAATAATAATAATAATAATAATAACGATATCATCTTAAAATTACAATTTAATCCGAGGGGAATATTGTATTACAATTCATATAGTACCTTGTAGCTACAGCCTCTCTTCTACACCCTGCATACAAATTTACTACCGCCTAGTGTCTAGGGAAAAAATGTTTAGAATTGCAGCTATGCGTTGCTTTTTTTCACGTTTTCTTTTTATTTCCTTTATTTTTCTCCGCTACTTTGCTGTTTCAGATGAGGTAGATCTGAACGCGATCGCCGATGCGGAAAGCGTACTCGCGGCGAGTACTCTCGCGATGATAGGGAAAAAAAACAAAAAACAAGAAGAAAAGATCGTTACAAAAAATCGTTTGCGCAAACCGTCGGAACTTGAACGTCCCGCTGAGATTCTCTGAGATCGTCCTCTCGACAACGAAGCGGGAAGTCCTCTCTCTTTTTTTTTTATCTCTCCCTTTAGCCGGAGAGCTGGTGAACATTTTGTTAAGGTTGTTTTGTACAAGCTGAAATTTTGTAAAAAGTTATTTTTTCCCTACCTGAATAAGGAATCAATCACCTGCCTGGCCAGCGTTGGTTAGAAGTGCACCCATAATTTTTTCAAAGTATAAAAAAAATGTTGAAACCAACGTGAAGTATACAAGTTGAAATTTGAATATATAAAAATTTTATACTTTTTTGAGTAAGAAAAAAAAGGGCAGGCGTCCTGGTTGGTTCGAACCTAGTGGCAGGCGATCGTGAAGTTGTATTAGTGGTGGTGCTTAACTTTTATTTCATAAAGGTATTTTATAGCAGCAGAAACATGTTGCAATTTTTACAACGTGTTTCTAATGCTATAAGAGTATTGTATGTTGAAAGCTAGGCTGATTTGACAAATAAAACAGTATGAAAAGTAGTAAGTAGTGTTTTCCGTGAGTGCAACGGGGAGAAGATTATGCGGACGCGCGCGCGAGAGAAAGAATAACTTTTTACAAAATTTCAGCTTGTATAAAACAACCTTAACAAAATGTTCACCAGCTCTTGGACTATTGCCTCCTGTCGAGAAAGCGCGACGAGGAGACGGAAAGAAGACGCCCCCCGCTCGTCGTCGAGACGAAGAGACCGCGTGGTTTTGTAGATCGACCTCCTCTTTAACAGTGACTGACTGGATGGCTGCGTGCACATAAATCGTTATAATCTCGCCTACTTGACTGCGACAAGTGTTAAGTGTAATTATTTATTATTCGTTTGCCTTTTCACAGACACGCCGGAGACAATTACGAAAATAATATACCGACAGCTCTGTCCTCCCCGCGTTCGTCGGCGAACATTACTCGATACATTACACATACATTGTTACAATAATAAGGATCGATCGTTGCTGTTGCGCTTAAGGGAGATTGTTGTCGCCTATCACAAAGATCGCCGGTAATTTCTTACATGATTTCTTGTGTAACTTGTCAACTCCTTTATAAAGGAAGGAGGGGGGGGGGGATCTGAAGTCGACGGTCGCGGCACTACAGTTGCCCGTCGAAGCCGATGATCTCGATCAATTTAATGAATCGGCGGGAGGGGTAAACGCGGAGCGTTACAGGCGCATTACAGTTTTCAGCGCAACACGATTGGGGCGGGGGAGAAATACATTCATCGGGCGCCTAAGGTGGACGCGCGTCGAGGAGAGAGAAACATTAACGTTACGGTGTACGTGTGTGTACGTGTAGCGTGTTATTATGTTATACCTTGCGATAAATACAATCGTGCATAGAACGCATGCTTGGCCCTTCCCTCTTTCACAAACGCGGAAGAACGTGCGTCCTCCTCCGCGTGCCATCACAAAACTAACGTGACATGTACATACATATATATTTATACATATATATGTATATCGTATATTTACATACACTCGACAAAAATAGCTTGACGATAATTGCACTCGCATTAATGCACCACGCGCTCGTCGGTCGTCACCGCCTACGTACGAGCAAAGAGGAAAAGAAAGAACGTAATTCCTCTTCTCGTCCTCGATACAGATATATATCACAAAAGTTGAGAGAGAGAGAGAGAGAGAGAGAGAGAGAGAGAGGGGGGGGGGGGGAGAAGCAAGTATTATATAATCGAATACTTCTTCTCGAGTCGAGTTTACGTCACATATCTCATTACGCTGCTGCGCGAAAGAGTTTCCGCAGCAGCGGTGCGGCCCATTCATCATTAAATATAAGCCCCCGCGAGCGCTCTCAGTTTAGCTCGGCTCAGAGAGAGCTTCCGCTCGTCGAGGAGGATCGAAAAAAAAAACTGTTCTTATAAATAAATATCTGCTGCCGTAAGTGGAGCTGCTCTCGCTCGCGACAGAGGGTGATTGCGTCGATTAAGCGCGACGAGAGCCCGTTGCAGGAGCGACGATAAATGGCAGGGTCGCCGAATGCCCGCATGACGATTAGACGTGCGAGGGCCAAGTCGTTAAATGCCCCGGGCCATTCGCGCGCTCGGGAGATTCGTATCTTATCGTGATTAAAAGTTAGCAACGATACGGCTATATCTCGTGGCGCGTGATCGTACATAGAGAAGCCTTATAAAATGGATTTACAAAGAGATGTTGCGATAATTCGCGTGTAAATTGGCTGGGATAAAGAGCGTAAAAAATAACAAGTGATACAAAACGCGCGAGAGAACGCGGCTGTGTCTAGTCTCTTTTTCTCAGAAAAAGAGAAACAAGTCGCGAAGACCTCTCGAGGATTAACAACGGCGATGTCGCGAGACGAGAGACGCGCGAGCGCGAAGCTCCGGCGGTCTCTCTTCCTCTTCTTCTCCTTCCTTTCGGGAACGCGCCGAGCAGATTCCGCTGGGTCTCGTCGCCCGCTCGGGAGAAGCGAAGGAAGAAGAAGGCCGAGGGGCTTCGCGTCGCTCGGTGGTCGCCAGGGTCGCGGCAAAAGGAGCGTGTCGGGGATAAATTAATCTAAATTAGACGCACGCGAGAGAGAGATGGTCGGCGAACTGTACGCACGTTAGCACGGGTAGTCGTTCAAATCGCTCTACTTTTCTGTCGCGGAAATGGGTCCTCGTGAACTTGCCTCGCTCTGATAAGACTGCGCGTCGGGCCGGCGAGGTGTACACTGCAACTTTTGGAGCCCGCGCCCACGACGCTAGAACTCCGCCCGAATTCTCATCCTTCGCGCTTGGATGAAAACAAAAAAAAACCGTTGAGCACGCAGGCCAATTTTCATAGTCAGATTTTATATTCAAGACTGTCTTAACATCATCTTTAGGTACTCCGTGGCCAATAAAACGTCCCGTACAGCATCTTCAGATAAATTCAAGACGGTCTTGAATGTAAGATCCGACTGTAAATACTGGCGGTGGAGTCCACGCGCCGTCGTCTTCATCCGAATTGTTGCATCCCACGAATCGGCGAGTTCTAGCGGCTGAGTCTCGTGGACGCGAGCCTCCACCGCGTTGCGCTCTTATCGCGAGGTATTCTTATCAGCTAGCAGAGAGATTTCTTACGATTACGAATACTTATGTAAGCCGCAATCATCTTTACGCTCGCTCGAAGCCGCATGTCCGATCGTTTCTTCTTTTTTTTTTCACGATTAGCGAATCGGTAGCTGAACTAAACACCTTGGGTATTCGTTGCCCCTTTTCCCTCGAGATCCGCGAGGATCCGGGTCGACTGCGACCGGGCGCGATCCCCGCTACGAACTCGCAAGATTGCGGCAAGGTTTCTCTCGGTTCTCTCTGTACAACTTTCTTTTAGACTGTGCGATTTAAATAGAGACACTAAAGTATAAATTATTCCGAAAAAAGTGGCGAGAGGCTTCTCCGTGTGATTCGTTCGATTCAGACATTCACATATTACAATACCTATTTTTTTTCCGAATCGTTAATCATGCATATATATATGTATGTGACATTAAATTAAATAATTTATAAAAATCAACTATTTACATCGACGGGACATGCAGCGCTTGTGACATATATGTGTGTGTCACACATATATATTTTGTGTATACATATATGTCACATATACATATATTATGTATATAATTTAATGCACTTATCTTATATATATATACCTAAGCACATGCTTGCTCTGAGAAAAAGAGGAAAGAAACAATTAAAAGAACTGGCGGTGCTCTCTCCTTGCGGATAATACAGTACTATGCCCTTACTTTAATCATAATAATAATAATAACATTTATGCATATCCGTTATACATAAGAGCCGCTGGAATTCTTTTGTTTTCGTCGATGAAAGCGTTCTTGCATTCGTTTTCTGTAAAAGTGAAGGGTATTTTGGCATTATGCGATCACGATCACTGTACGCTGTTACCCATATCTGTGTGTGTGTGATCAGGAACATGGAAAAAAAAGAGAGGAAAACAAATAAATCTCCAAAGTAATACGTTGATCAGTCAAATAAAAATTTCATATTTCGTGAAATCAACATACGTGACGCCACGATATAATAAATGATACGGCGGTAATAATCGCAACCGAGAACGTCTCAAATAATTAAACTCGGCCGTGCAAAAAAAGATGCGATTCGATCGTACGCTAAAAAGGAACGTCGCGAGGTTTGTTTGCTTTCTTTTCATTCGCTTATTTCCTCCTTAATTAACGAAACCGCGCGGCAAGCTTGGTGCCAAGATAGCAGACGTGACAAATTCGACCCACTTACGCTAAAGCGCAGAGCTGCCTGGGGGACCGCCACCCTTTTCGTAACGCAAAACCGAACAAACCGACACGACACGCAACGTAGGCTTTTTAATTAAGTGAATCTAAAAAAAGAAAAACAAGATGATTGGACATACGAGACGTGGGAGGTTTGCGAAAAGAAAGAGAGAAAGAAAAAGAGACGGCGGCGATTTTAACTGACGCGGTATGTAGCCGGGCGGGGGGAAAACTGAGGGGAAACTACTCCTTACCACGATTGCCGGTTCTGATGGCGTTGACGTTACTCAGGTGGTGCTGACCGGCCCGGATCGGCTTCGCGATCTGCGCGCTCGGTCCGCGACGCGCCAGATTCTTTTGCCTAACCGCTTCCTTGATCCGATCCACCTCGTACTGGTAGCGCTTACGGTCTCGCATCGCGCCCTCCTTGGCGTCGCGCAGCGCCGTCTCCAGGGCCTTGACGCGCTCCATCGTCGCTCGCAGACGTTTCTCTAGTTTAGGCAACTCGCAGCGGAGGTCTGCGTTGTCCCTGACGAGTTGTTTGTGCACCTACAATGCAAATGCGTATTACGCACAGAGTTGACGCGCCAGTGGCACAAATATAAATGAGAATAACGAAAGCGAATCTTAATCATAAGTTGATTATAATTAATAGAGAGTACATCGTGTGATTTGCACGCGTTTCAACCGCACCTTTGTCAGCTGGTCCAAATTGTTCTCCAAGAAGGATATCTTTTGCTTCTGCGCGAGGGAACCGCCATCGTCCTCGTTATCCTCCGCGCTGATGGTCTTCTTTATTCTAGCCTGCAGGTCCTGGACGAACAATTTGCGCAGATTGTGCAGGGTCTGCAGTTCTTTGGCTACCGTGTCTTCCAAACCTTTGAGATCTTTTCTCGCCTGAAATCGATAAGACGCGACCGTGAGTTCGTTCTAGATCGCAGCCGACAGATCGTTCGTTCGTTCCTGTCGCACGTACTTGTTCCCGGCGCTCGTTCAGCAACACGAGTTCCTGCAGCTTGACCGACTTGTTAGCCTCCTCTTGCTTCAGCCGTTCGTAATCGGCCTGCATCTGCTGGTGCGCCAGAGTGAATTTCTGATTCAGGTCCTTGAGCTCGCTGATCAACTCCTGCTTCTCAGACAGTTCGTCCCTAAGCGCGGCAACCTTTAACAGCGTTAAATCCAACATTAGAAAATGCGAAGAAATTCGAGAGAGAAGAAAAACGGGGATCAAGTCCAAGATAAAATTCTATGTGTTTCACAAATAGGCAACCTGTTTTTGATGCGCATTTCTCAGCTGATCCATCTGCTCCTCCAAGGTCATCCGCATCTTCGTCGCCGCCTCTTTCTCCTCAGCCTTCTCCTTGTTGGTGACCGCCTGCACCTGCTCGGCAGCCTTCAACTTGGCGCATTCCTCGCGCAACGCGTCCACGTCCTCCTCGAGAGCTCGCTTGCGCGTCTCCGCTTCCTTCATCGATTCCGCCAGCGTTTGCATACGGGCCTCGTGCTGCGAGATCAACAGCCGGCACTCGGCCAAGTCCTTCTCGTACTCGGATACCTGGAAATTTACGCAAAACCAAGATTGATCGAAGGAAGGCAATGCGGAGAAGGAATTGTGATTAATAAGATGACGCAAATGCAGCCTCGACCACTCACTTTCTTATTACAGTCTACTTGGAAGCTTTCCAATCCCTGACATCGCTGGACCAAATTCTTCACCTCGGACTTCATCTTACTGATGAACAGTCGCGCCACCGTGAACTCCTCCTCCAGCTTACCATTGTTCTCCGGCGGAGAAATCTTGAATTCAAATTGAGGTGATAATTGACAAAACCGATAAAGCTTTGTACTAAATAAACAACGAAAAGTTCTCCAATCTTTATGCCTTTATCTCTGCTTAGCGATTCGATTCTTACTTTGAGATTTTCGTTAGACTCGCCACCGATAGCCACGCCGATCTCCCCCAGATCTTTCAGGAAGTTTGCCAGCATTTCCGCGATGCGTTTCCTCTGATGCGCCGACATGTCACGTAACTGTTGCAGCTCGGACGCGGTGTTGTTCAGAGTTACTTGCTTAGCCAGCAGCTCCTCCGTCATCGATTCCTGTTCCTTGTTCTTCAGTTCGACCTGTTAAGAGTAACAAGAATAAAAACAGTTCGTCCGATTTCCTGAACGGCAGTCTCTCTCTCTTTCATGGTCTACAATTACCTCCTGCGACTTCTGATCGTAATTGACCGCGAGCTCTTCCAACGCCTGCAGCACCTCCTTCACTTCCTCCTTAGCGCTCTCGTTCTCCTGCTGTATTCGGTTCATCTCCTGCTGCAGCTGCTCGTAATCTCGCCGAGTGCTGCCGATAAGTTCCTCCTGTTCCTCAATCTGCTCCTTTAGCTTCTCGACATACTGCGACTGTTGATTGATCTCCTCATCCTTCTCATCCAGCTGTTGGTACAGCCTCTCACGTTCTTCCTCGAGCTTCTGCCTCTCCTCGTTCGAGAGGGAACCAATCATAAGACCGCCACCGGGAGTAGCAGGCATCGGACTGTCGTCCAGTTTGCCTACAAGACAAAGAGCTTTGTAATCACACAACCTGCAAAGGTTACATCTAACTTTACAGAAAGATTACACACGATTTCACAATTCTGATCTTTTAGCGTCCCGTGCTGTCTTAATGTAGGAGATATTTAATTAGATCAAGCGTGATTATATTCAATGCTTTATTACTTTCGATGGGCGCAATGATCGGCGTGGTAACATCCGGTCCTTCGACGAGGCTGACCTGCTCCTCCGGTCTAACGGTCTCACCCTGCCGCCAACGCGACAATTCGGCCTCCAATTTGTCCACCTTGCCTTTCCATCTCGCCACCTTCTCCTTCTCGCGTTCGTAGCGACGTTTCCACTCTTCGGCCGTGAGTTCCTCGTTGACGCATACAACGTTCTTGATGGTCTTGGCGCGTTTACCTACAACGAACTCGGTCTGTGAAATCTGCCGAACAGAGCAGCGTGTCGTTTCAAAAAACAAAAAACAAAATATATAGTAGAAATTTACCGAAATCTAAGGTCGATTTCGTTTCAGATTCGTTGAAGCTAGCGGGAGAGCAACAGATGATGATCGTGGTCCTGGCGTTGCCACCCAGGGATTCTTGCAGGATTCTCGTTAGCTTGGAGTCGCGATAAGGAATGTGAGTCTTATTGCCATCAGCCAAGGCCGAGATTACATTACCAAGTGCAGACAGGGATTTGTTGATGTTCTTCGCCTCATCTAGCACCGTTCCTTCCGCACCGGTTTTAGAAACCTAAAACGAGACACGAGAGAGTGTAAACAATAATAAAGTGGAAAATTGGGGAAGAATATATTTCTCTACGTAGACGTCCTCCCGACTTTCTCTTGCTCGCCACTATCTCTTTCTTTTTCTCTTCGCTCTCCACTTTCGCAGCAATTACATCTCCACTTTTCCTACAAGATTCCTGCCTCTGTCTCTTCTGTATTAAAAAAAAACCTTCAACTCAACTCTTACTCATTTTATCTCTTCAATTCTTAGATCTTTTGACTACTACATTCCTCTTTCTCTCCAATCTTTCTGTGTGTCCTCTTTATCATCACCCATAGCTCCGCTAAATTTACTTTTCTCGCCCCGATGCTTTCACCATCCATACTTGCCTCCTCGTCGCCACTTGCTACGCCACCTTCATCTTTCCTCAGTAACATCTTCTTTATCTGCTTTATAGCACACTCTATCTCTCTCATTCTGTCGTCCCACGCTTTCATCTTCTCTTCCTCCTCTTTCATTCTTCTTTCCACACCCTCTCGCAAACTCCTCATTTCCCTTCTCACTTCCTCCCTAACTTCTTCCGTCTGACCTCTACCCTTCCCCATAGTCAACCCTTTGAACGTCAATTCACCTCGCTTTTCTTTCTCCGCTTTCCTAACTCTTTCTCCACGCGCACACACACTTCTCTCCCTCCCCTTTCCGCTGTAACCTCCGAATTTCCCGCCCGCTCTGTCTCTTCTTATCCTATCTGTATACCTCCTTTCCAACGCTACCTTCACTCCTACCGTCTCTTTACCATTCCTAGGGAGTTTTCCAGCAAGCGACACAAGTCGACACAAGTGTCGTTCTGTCTTTATTATTCATTGAATGCGAAGAAAGACAGAACGAAATTTGTGTCGACTTGTGTCGCTTGCTGGAAAGCTCCCCTAGCCTCCTCTCGGACACTTCAATCCCCGAAAAGCTTGCTCTCGCTCTGAAGCCTATTACACAATGCCAGGCAACAGGCAACAGGAACAGGGAATAGAATTTTTGAAGCGTTGGATTCGTCGGAAATTTTCTTCCAACCAATCCAACGCATTAGAAATTCTATTCCCTGTTCCTGTTGCCTGGCATTGTGTGATGGGCTTAAAATTCGAGTACTCTCGCTACAAGCTGCTGCTACAAACGGTTTCTCTCCGATACAACACTCTCACGCCCTCTAACCAAGTGCCCAAGAACGTATTTCGAAAATAATCTCACCTTTTCGGAGCCGGCTAAATCGACAAGGTACAGTTTACCGGAGAGCTTCTTTTGATTCTCCAAATTCTCTTGTTTGACATTTATGAGGAAAACGGAATGGGAACGTGAGCTGTGCTCGTTCATGTTGGTCACGGCGATATGTCGGTTTGACTTGCCCTCTTCTATCACCTCGAACACCTCCTCAGGACTAGAAACAAACCGCTCGGTCGCACCCTTCACGAACGGCACCCGGTTCTTGTCTTCGTGTACGCTTAAGTTAACCTTAGATACTGAAACAGAGAATTGTCGAGATTTATATCCAGTACTGGCTGTGACACGAACGTCACGGGCTTTCAATGAGAAATCAACGTAGGCCGAAACGAGAACGAGAGGACTCACCATCGAGAAGATCTCTGATTTTATCCATGTAAATCTCAAAGTAGGACACTTTGATATGGAACTCCAAGTTCTCCTCCATGCCGTAGATATGATTGAAGATGTCATTGACAATTCTCGGGATAATGCCCTGCTTGTTAGAATCGCCAATGACTCCCTCCATCGTGTGCGTTTTACCTGCGCGCCAAGGATTCAGTTTAGGTACAACGCGTTATAACTTGACTTTCTTAAAGCTAGTCTTCTGATTGAGTCGATGTCAAACATCAAATATTTGAAGACAATAGGGGCAGTGTGAGCTGTCGCCAGAACTTGGGTGGAAAAAAAAAACAAATTATATATTGCAAGATACCCTGCCGGAAATAATTCTACAAAATTCTACAAGAAAATTAAATACAACTGCCAGAATCTACGAAATTCTACGTAAATTTAAAAAGTGTTATGAAATGCTCAACATGAAAATGCTAGAATTGAAACACTTTTGTTAATTTTTGTAATATTCTACAAGTAAGCGGATGTTTTCTAATTCTTTAAGATTTTGTTGTTTCACAAATTTTTACAACCGGTAAAGTTTTGTACTAATTTTTACAAAATTGTACATTTTCGTGAAATATTACTCGCAATAATTTCTTGATTAGAGAACATTGTAATTTGTGGTACTATTTTGTAGATATTTTTACAGAAAAATCAATGTTTCAACGAAGATATAAAAATTTCTACTTTCTATTTCGAGTCAATTTTTTGTAGTTATTTATAGAAATTTTTCCGCTAGGGTAAACTTGACGTTTGTCTACAAGGCGTCTACGTTGGAAAGGCACTCTTTCAGACGTGCTTTCGTTCCGCAAAACCGGGGGCAGTTTTAGGTGCAAACAAATGCGACAATCCTGCTAGAAAAATTCAAGTGACACAAACGGAACGCAAATAACGCTCGCAAAACGAGAGCCAAATCTTTCGAGACAACAGCCTTCTCTCTCTCTCTCTCTTCGTGTGAAAAAATATTCCGAAAGGTCTCGGAGCTCTTTCAGGCTGCCATAGATGGTGGAGCCTTCGATTGGACTATCGTTTTAAGATTCACGCGTACACGTAATCCGTTTACACGGATTTTAAGTACCTTCGTTCACGTGTACCCGTGTATGTGTGATACGTGTAAACGTGTGCAATTATTTATCAAAATTCGATGAAAGGTCTCCATTTCTGCATACGTTGCTCGACATAGTATGTAAACGCATAATTCCAGCATTCCAAGTTTTTGTCCAGACTTTGCCTATCCAGAATTGCCTATAGAATTCTCTAAATATTTGCCTATCGAGGTAGACACGGCTATACGGATAAGTTAAATACACAGATAGCAAACATCTTGCTTTACAACAATCGTCCTGAACGCAAGGACTACGTACCTGACGATGTTTGACCATACGCAAAGATGGTTCCGTTGTATCCCGCCAGAACATCCGTGACGATCGACTTGGCGGCCTCATTGTAGACTTTGTCTTGCGTGGCATTTGGTTTAAACACTTTATCAAAGAGGTATACTTTGCCCTAAAATCAATAAAGTCACATGTAGCCAAAGATTTACTTTCGGTAAAGCTGAATCCCTTACTGCCGCAACCGCGCGCAACTCGACTTATTTCTCTTCCAACAGCAATCCATTTGTCGTAAACGTCCGATCGAAAGCAAAATTCTAATCGGACGAGACTTTTTGCGGGTCGCGTATAGAATCATCGCTGCGCCTGTCGCGTACAGTGTTTCCCAACGATTGAAACTCCCGGAAGAGAAAGCATCGCGGCAATGTTGTAGCAACATTGTTAACAACGTTGTAGCAACATTGCAACGATACAGCACGCAGGGCGCTACGTCAGAATTAAGTTTAAAAACCCATTGGAACATGTGTGCCGAGTGAATCACAGGCAGTTCCGTAGATCTATGTATATACACGCAACATCTATATAGAGCGCCGTATAAATCTATATACGCGATATACGCGGCAGTAAAGGGAGCAGACAACCGTGGCGAGCGTGGGTCCACGCTGGCGTGGGCGCATAGGCGCCCCACGTACCCCGATGGAGATGCAGTTCTCGTCGCCGCCGGACGGGAACTTGACGATGAACTTGGAGCCGGCCTTCTCCTCGGAGTCGTTGAGCGGCCGGAATCTGCAGACCACCTTGATGCTGTCCTCGGCGGCGATCTCGCGCTCCCGCGGCGTCTCCATTGCCATTGCGAGCGGAGGCGACGGCGACGGCGACGATGACGAAGGTGCGTGTGCGCTCGCTCGCTCGCGCGCGCGTGTGTACGCGTGTGTACCTAGCACTCGACCGTGGTATCGATACTCTCCTCACCTCACCTCACCTCACCTCACCACCTCCTCCCTCCTCCTCCTCAGGCTATTCTCCGCTGCTTCCGACTAGCCTCTGCTGCGATCGTACGTGGAGTGAGGCATAGGCGACGGGTTGACATAGGCGCGTACCGCGTCAAGGGACCGTCGTCCACCTATATCTGTCCCCTTCGCTCTCTCTCCCCACCCCTCCTCTCGCCACTCTCACCGCGCGCGCTCCGCTCCGACGGCAGGTCCCCGTCTGTCACCGTTCACGTCGAGCGGCAAGATGGCGGTTGATAAGTGGCTGCCTGGCTGGCTGACTGGCTGGCTGACTGGCTGACTGGCCCGATCCTGGGCCACGAGGCCCGCCTGACCCGCTTCGGCAACGATCCTCGCGGCACGACAGGCGACGACGCTTCGGATAGGACCCGCCTATCTCTCTCTCTCTCTCTCTCGCGCGCGATCGCGCGCGCGCGCGTGTGCTCTCTCGCTCGATTCGAAAATCGCGAGCCCCCGCGTTCCGTTCTCTTGCGCTGCGGGCCGCGAGGACGGTGGCGATCGCGCGGCTCACGCATACACGAGTCTCCACCTCCGGAGAAACTCGGCGAACGATCCGCCGCACGCGCGCGCAATCGATGACGAGTCGGCGACGTTGCGCGCTACATACGCCGCACACCTACACCTACACCTCTACTATTATCATTATAGGTTGCCGGGGCGAGCGCGGCTTTTATCGCCGCCGCCGCCTCACCTTTCGAGGCGCAGCCCGTTTACGACGCGTCTCTCCTCGCTCCTAATCGTTACCCCGTCGCTCGCGCTTCGTCCCACACAGCACAGAAAGATTGCAGGAAGATTGCAGAAATGTTACATTGCAAGATTGCAGTGTTGCAGCAACGTTGCGCAACATTGCTGCAACGTTTCTGGGGGATTGCAGCAACGTTGAAATGTCCGCCCTCAGAGAGATTGCAGTGCAACATTATAGCAATGTTGCGGCGCAATATTTTTGGAATAATTTGTCGTTGTTGTACATAAGCAGAGAATTTACTAATTACATATGCATCCGGGCCTTTTTCAATACTCAGCAAGCTATTGCGAAGCAACCTAAAGAGATTATGTCGCTTAGCAATAGATGGAGATTGCGAGCAACACCGCACTGATCAAGTACTTAATAATTCGCGCATTATTGGTATCAACGAAAATAACATTATAAAATTCTCGTAATTAGAAGAATTTTGTAAATAAAAAATATAGTATTTTCATTATTTTTGAAACATTGCTGCAATATTGCTATCGAATTAAGTTTGCAATTTTATATCCCTGCAATGTCTCTACAAGGTTGCACTGCAATCTGCAAGATTGCAACGTTTCTACAATGTAACTGCAACCATCTGTGCTGTATGGGGTAGTTGTTATTATTATTATCTGTATACAGCGACCTGTACACCCGCCCGCGCCACGAATTTATATCCGTGACTCTTTCGCGGGGTACGTCAATAATTGTACTCGGGCTTGAGCTGCGTAAATTCCTTTCTATCCGAGTCCAACGTAGCGCGAACGCCTCCCAGTTCACTTTGCTGGAGCGAGGAACGATCTGATTGGTACTTGGTGTTGTTGTTGCTATAATCCGGGCTTGGAAGCCGCCGTTGCCTTCTGAACATGCAGACAGCTATTGCCTTCTGAAGATGCAGTTCTCTCTGCAACCGCCCTCGATATTTGCGTCGCGATAAAGCTGTTATTATTATTATTGTCACCGCGAAACGCGTGGCGAAGTGAAAACGCCCAGGGCGGGAACCTTGCCGTCTCATTGCGATTAATCTGTCCCGTGTGCACGCGCCCCGATTCGTTTCCGCGCCGTCACAGTCGCCGACGGCCTCGGGTCGACGTAGCGCGGATTACGTCACGGAGCTGAACGGAGCGCACGGGAAGCGTCGGGACGTGCCGCAAAGACGAAATCCCTCCGCGCTCTTTCTTTAGTCCTAGTCTACAATAGATGATTGAAGCCCTAAGCTTTAAGAAATTGACTAATCACAGTTGCGTATTCTACTCATACTTGACCGTGATTGGTCAATTTCTTAAAGCTTAGGGCTTAAATCATCTATTGTAGACTGGAGGCTTGTTTTCTGTTCTTACACTAGTGAACTAATGCAATAAATTAGAGTAAGACAAGCATATATTTTCTCATTCTACCTTATTGCACTAGTTCACCAGTGCAGGAACAGAAAACAAACCTTGGGACTTACCCTCGTCCGTCCCGCTCGGCGACACTTCGCTCCCGCACTTTCTGCACCTTTGAATTCGATTTGAATTCGAAATTTCGAGTGCGCGCGGTGCAGAACAGCGCGGCTAGACGGAACCTGTCGGGTAGGCGCGATATATATCGATAATGTAGAATCTCGAGTCTCGATCCGCCGAGGCGCCACTATACGAACGGGTCCACGAGTCGGTAGACTTACTACATTGATACAAACTTTACTTCAACAGGTATAAAAAACATGGGAATGTACATTATAAATTAAGTAACATAGAAAACTTAGCCTACGAGTATTCGCTGTGTGTGTGTGTAAAACTTATTTACTGGTATTCACAAGTATGGCTGCCAGCCACAGTAAACCCGGCATAGATTCGCAGGGTCTCGCGCCTCCTGCAGGAGCCTCTCGACCTGCCCGGGAACGCTCGATACCAGACCGTCCTCGGTGCCCCGCAGTTTCTGTTCGATCCTCAAAAGAGCCCTTTTGGCGATCTTGTTAGTCTCCACGGGTGCTGAAGAAGGTAAAAAATGTATGGATCAGAACGTCGGCCGGAACAGTCTGGCGACTGGAAGACCCGTCCTGATGAAATTTCCTTTACCTCGGCCGCTGTTCTCCGAGAACTTGACGACGTCGCTCTGCATCTTGCAGGCCTTCTCCGGCGTGATCGCCCACGTGAAGAGCGGATCGTATAGCAAAACTTGAAGGAGGGTGATGATGATCTGCCTCTGATCGCGCAGCATCGTCATGGTCACCTCGCAACTGCGCCTCATGGCTCCCTCGATGCCGGAGGCGCCCATAGCAACCTCGATGTCCCTGGTCAGCCTACGATAAAGTAGACGACGCGTTAACGGCGATTGAAAAAGAGATTACAAAAATTTTGAGAATATTTTATGTAAAATTCTAATGTAACATAATCCCTCGAGACGCTTTTTTTATAGATGAAATGATTCGTACGACGGCTCTACCTGAAGGGAATTGTCTCGGGGAGGGGCAGGACTTTGCCTTGCTCGAAAGCAACGCCAAAATCGATGTGCACCACTTCGGCGGTGCGCTCGTCGACGAGGATGTTACTCAAGTGTCGATCGCCGAGGCCCAGAATGTAACCCGCGATTGACGTGGTGGCGACGCTACGTGTATACGTGAGAGTCCTCTCGACCCAGGTCTCGGGCGATCGATACTTCTCTATAAAGAAATGATGAAACGCCGGCCTCATACGTTTGCAGCACTCGAGAAAGACCTTCAGTTTCACCTGGACCGAAAAACAATACAAGATAAAGAGCCCAAGGTCCGAAAGCGAGATCTCGAAATAATCTTGACGGCTAAAAATCCAATTTCGCTCCGTAATTATAGCAGGAAGAATTTTTATTAAAATACTATGAAAGAACTTTAATCAAAATATTACTTTTAATTGAAATACTACTGTTCCTGTTTCTCCGAAGAGAGACAACTAAGAGTCAGGCTTGTTAAAAAGCCAATCTTTAAAAATATCCAATTTCTGAATGTTAAACTAAATAGATAAAAAAATTAAATCGAATCCTGGCTGAGGTAATATTTTTCGCAATAAGAATTTTAATTTTCAATATGGGGGAGGGGGGTTGTCGTAATAAATGCTATGTATAGCATTATGTATAGCATTTACACTACTCAAAAAAATAAAAATAAAAATAAGGAACACTTTTCACACCCTAAAAATTAGGCTATTTTCAAACTATTGAAACTCAGCGAAAAATCATCGTAGACTCAAAACTAAAAAAGCATTTTAAAGCTTGAAGTTTCAACTTTAAAACCCTGTCAACGATTTATTTAAGTATGTTCATCTTCCTCGTTCTGCGCTTTAAAAAAGAATACCCTGTTTTGTTCCTTAAAATTACGTATATTTGACACATTGCAGCTCGATAAAAAAAATTCTCTCGACAAATTCGATACAAGTTCCACAATCTACAACATTTCACCTACAAAATGCTTTTTTTAAAATTTTCCTACGATTTTTTTTACAGAGTTACATGACTTTGAAGCGAACCATGTATTTTCTTGAAAAATGATGTTTACCACCGGCATTAGCGTTACCCAATGTGCACTACGTGGAGGTTGCCGGTCGGATTTTGCACATCGTGTGTGTGTATATGTGTGTATGCGTGCGCGTGTGCGTGCGAGCATTTATTATTGTGTATTACCTCCTCTCTGATAAATTACCGCTTGTAAACGCTCTCGTATGTTGATACATCTCTCGATCAAGTTTTGCGGAATTTCTTCATATCAAGTATGAAATTCCGCTAAACTTTGTTAATATATTGTTCATCGCTCATAGCGTAGCAATGATCATCAGTACATTATGTATTTTTAAAAAAGCATTTTGTAGGTGAAATGTTGTAGATTGTGGAACTTGTATCGAATTTGTCGAGAGAATTTTTTTTATCGAGCTGCAATGTGTCAAATATACGTAATTTTAAGGAACAAAACAAGGTATTTTTTTTTAAGCGCAGAACGAGGAAGATGAACATACTTAAATAAATCATTGACAGGGTTTTAAAGTTGAAACTTCAAGCTTTAAAATGCTTTTTTAGTTTTGAGTCTACGATGATTTTTCGCTGAGTTTCAATGGTTCGAAAATTTTTAGGGTACGAAAAGTGTTCCCTATTTGTTTTTTAGTAGTGTATAAAGATAATGTAGAAAAATCGCTGTGCGATATTATAACACGTGAATCATGATAAAATTTGTGAACAATTTGTCAACAGGTAGTTGAAAATAACGGCGAGTTCTAGCTTATTATTTACATCGTTTGACTCTTGCGCGACGTTCTTCAACTTGTTCCTGGCTGCTTCCGCGGTCAGGTCCCGCGGATAATACTTCTTGTGTATACCGGGCAGGCCCGGAGTGCCTACGAGGGTCGCCGTGATGGGCACCGTGTTGTCGCACCACTCCAGCACGCCCGACCTTTGCGTTAGCGGCACCACTTTGTACGTTCTGATACGTAGATTTCGCCGTTGCGTCTCTTTACACGTGCGCAGCAGCGTGTTTATCACGGTGAATACCTGCTGCATCACCGCGTCCTGCCGCAGGTCGTCCTTGCCTTTGACCAACTGCCGGCGCTGCACGCCGTCAGTGCCGACGCAGATGATCTTTTTGGGCGCGGTCATGCCGCCGACGAATTCGCAGGACTCCTGATACGATTTCACGCCGATCACGTCGTTGTAGTTGCACGACGGTCTCACGGGTAAACTCAGAGTCGGTAGGAGAACGTGGTTTAGGTTCTTGATCTGCAAAATACAACATTAAATTAGTCTTGGAATCAGATCTCGCGATCTATGATTATTATTCCCTCTGAATAGACATCGGACTAACGATGAGAGGAAAAAAGAACAAATACCTTAGATATTGGCTGGTCTCGCGGTATCGCGTAGCGTTTATTGTTGCCCTTGGGTTGCCAATAGGCAAAGCTCAACAGTGCCCGCGACAGGTTTTCCATTTCATGAACAATTACTTGTACCTGCGGCTCGGTCAGTTGGTTGAGCAGCATCTTGGCACCTAATACGCGACGCTCTTCCTTGTTCGTGACCGTCGAACCTGGATCGTATTTGTCGTCGCTGTGCAGATTCTTCAGCGCCAGCACCACAGGTAGCGTGTGATACGGGTGCTCCAGGGCGCATCGTTTGAGGATCTGGAAGATTCGTGCGGAGAAGCTACACTGCCTGATGTTGCTTATGTGAGCGGCCAACTGCGGCACCAGTGGCACGAACTTGAACGACGGAATGATGTCAAGCTCGGCTAGCAGGTCTTCGTTCACCTCGTCGTCGCACATGTTGTCCAGCCAGAGCGCCACTAGTCGGAAGATGAGTAGATTGTGCTCCTCACTGCTGCGCAACGTCTTCAGATAATACCTCAACGCCTGCGCGAGGTAGTTGCGCTTCTCCTGCTCGATGTTCTTCAGCTCGGCCACGTCGTTCGTCGACTGCTTCTGGTCGATTATTACGGCGCGCTTGAAATCCTTGTTCCTCATCATTTGCGCTTGGTCCACTTTACCCGCATTGCTACGAGCGTATTCATTCAGCGACTTATACGTTGAGGAGTTCATAAATGTGCTGATCTGTTGGTATTGTGCGTCGGCAAAGCGCGCTAATGCGACCTATAGTGTAAAAGTACACCGAGATAAATAAAATTCTTTTCTCATTTAATCAATTGAAAAGTTGCAACAGCAAATAACTCGCGCAACAAATATGAAGCTTAAAATTGAAACAACGTGAAATAAAAGAATTTTACAAGTAAAGAAAATAAAGTTTGTACATAGTAATAATGTAAGTCAACTTATTGTTGCAGTGACTACTTTGCATATTATATTAATCCGCCCACCTGTGTGTCGTGCAAATTTCTGACAACATCGGGCGACTGCTCGTCGATAGCCTCGCTGGTCTCAATGGATGCTAGATAATACTTTTGTATCACTGCCTGTGGGTTCTCCGACTTTGTTTCAGCCATCCAGTCGCCGTAAACTCGCAGAGCCTTGGCTCTCAGACCTGGCTTCGGATTCTTCTTCTCGATTAGGCTCCGTAACAGATGACGCGCCATCACCTGCTCGCCATTCATCCACGCCAAAAGCGACTCCTGATAGAGCAGTTGATTCTTCAGACTGTTGGGCAGATTTTGGTGCAACTCGAGGGTTCTCAGCGCTCGAGTGGCCACCGGGAAATTACCCTGACCCTCCGCGACCTTTGCCAGGTCCAGGCAGGTGGCAAAGAATGCCTCCTGCACGTTTTCCTCCGTCCACAGAGACTTGCGGATGCGGAACATGGCGATGCGCTGCGACAGAATCGGCTCCACGTGGTCGAACTGGCCGATCAGGCTGATCTCGTGCTCGTTCCAGCGTCGCAAAATCTCCGGGTATCTCGTCTCCGGCGAGTCAGCCGCCCAGCTCAGCTGCTCGATCTCGCGCAGCAGCCGCAGCTGCGACAGCTTCTGATTGACAGTCTTGCTGCTCTCCGGGCTGATCACTCGCAGCTCGTGGATCACGCTTATGCGGCCGCACTCGATCGCCCGATCCGTGCCTCGCCGGTCGTTCTCATGGAAGCACTTTAGGGCATGATAATGATGCGCGTGGAACGCGTTCTCCAGCGATTCCAGTCGCAACTGTTGAGGCTGAAAGTCGTTATAACTGGCAACGCTGGCTTCGTTGACGGGTAGATCCCACTTGTTGAGTCTCCAGGCGCACTCATAACTAGAGGGAGAAATTGGTTTATTTTCATCAAATCAACTTACTTAGCATACTTGATCCGCCTACCCGCGAATTCTTATGTAATTGTATATACGTCATGCACCTGAATTTCTCATTCAGGCTGTCTCCCAGGAATTGCCACTGGAGAAATTGCAGCCCCGAGTGGTGTAGCGCGCTCGCCATCTCTATCCTGGCGTTCGCCAGCGGCAAGTGATTGTGGTTGGACAACTCGATGTCCTGCGCGAGCATGACCTCGTCCCAGCGATTAGCGCGGGCGTAGTATTGCACGCGGGAGTCGTGGTCGAGCACGTGTGACCAGCCGGCGCCGGATTTGGCGTCCGGGTCGCTAATGTTCAGGTAGGTGTCCAGCATGATATTTTGCAGGACCCGGCCAACCTCCGGCTGGTGTTCGTAGATGTAGTCGATCCTCGGGTCACTGCTGAAGTCCGGGTAGTCCGTCGAGATCAGTCCGCAGGCGAGTTGCGCGAACAACAGGGCCGTGTAATACGCGGAGCACTTGTGCGCCGCTCTGGCCAGGTAGACATAATCGAGTTTTAGGACCACGCCGTCCGGCAGCTGGGCGCGCACGTGGTTCACCACGTCCAACATGCGGCGTACGATCTTTTGGTCGCAGCTGTCGCCTTTCGACACTGGCGACGCGGCAGTCTCTGCCTCATTGATCGCAAAGTGTTGCCTAGCAATTGATATAATTTAGCGATCGGTATCAAATCACGAGCGGCTTTTACATTCGGAAACATTTCAACCTTCTCCAAAATAATGTCACTTGGAAGACGATAAAGCGCTTGGTATACCTCGCTTTACAAAGATACTTAGTTTACGAGGTTACGAATAAACGTCTCGCGAGATTAAATTCTCCGTTTAGGCGCCTATAACTAATAATAAGTGAATAATACCTAAAGAATTGATTAACGCAGTCGCACATGGCATCGATGAAGCTGTTGCTTTTGTGAATGACGAGATAAACGATTCTCGGCAGAATCAGCTCGCAGAATTCGACGCTGAGTCGACAGACCAGCAGGAAGTTCTCCAGATAAGAGTCTGCAAAGCACTCGGCGACACCGCACGTGACCTTGATAATCCACTCGGCATAATTCTCGTTGTTCTGGACCGTCCATAGCGCGTTCTCCGGATTCATGACGACACGGAACTTTGCGGTGTCCACGCAGAAGGATGTCTGCTTGCTGCAACGGCCGTGAGCGAACGGTCGGATGTAATCGGTCTTCAGAGGTGCGTACTCAAGGATGTACGACAGGTCTTTTGAATACTTGGAGTCGTATAGGTTTCGACCGTAGGAGGTCGACAGTACCGCGTAAAGGGCATCGGCGCTAACCTTGAGCAAGGTATCAAAGTATATTACTCATTCTGATATTTTTTCAAACATTGGACAATTACAATCCAATATGGCTTGAATGAGAACTCGAGACAACGTGAGATTTCATTGTATAAGAATAAAAACCTTTCGAAGTTCCACCGATTTCTCCACGAGAAAGCTTGTTAACATCATGACCGATCGATAGGTCAAAGCCTCTATCGCATAGTCCGCTTCCCGGACGAGACTTCCGGCCGGTCGCAGTGCCACCGTAGAATCTATTGGACCTAGTTCGCCAAGGCACTTGGTGGCCTCCATCGATACGCACGAATTAGGCGATTCCGTCAGCTTGATGAGCCTGAGGAGCGAATTGGTCGAAATGCACAATATTGTGTGATAGAACAAAGAATACGAAAGGCGAGACGGAGATACAGAGGCGCAAAGGAAAAGGAAATTAAATGGAAATGAAATACAATGTTAATTCGAGCTAAACACATATTTACCTAAATATCAATCGATGCAGGATATTGGCGCCATCCTCAGGATACGGCCTCTCCAACTTTCGGTGCAGTTCTCGCAGCTCCCTCTTCCTCGTCGACAGCTGCTGCGTGAAATTGGCGAGATCTTCTAGTGTGCACTCGGCGTCTTCCTCGCTCATGGCGTCTAGGAAACGTTCCAGCTCATCCTCGAGGCACAGCGCGGATCCACTTTCCGTTCTGGCGGCGTCGTAAGATTCCCTCGCATCCTGGAAGACCTCGTGATTCGGGAACGAGCCGAGTCTCGCGATGGCCTCTCGTAACACGTCTCTTTGCTCCACCACGAGGAACTTGAGTAGACCCACAGCAATCTCGTTGACGCTGCTCGCTTTCGATTGTGCCAGGCCAATCAGGTTTGCCACAATGAACCGGAGAACATCTCGGATCTCCGTGGCTCTCGCGGGCAGCGCTTGTCTTAGGAAGAGATCCAGAAACTTGCAGCATGCCGCGACGAACGTCTCGTCATCGCTACCGTTCCTGGTTAGGTGCAACAAGCTGTAGCACACATCCCGGATAAAAAAGGCAGCCATCTCGTCGAAGACTGGCTTTGCGAGGTCGTGCGTTAACCGCGAGCAGAAGTACATGTACTGATGCAGCAGCTTGAGCTTATCCTCGTGAGAGCGCGACGAGTGTACAGCGCTCGCGAGCTGCAACAGTGTTTTTTGCAACGCCGCTGGTTGCTGTTTGACCAGCATGTGCGTGTTCAGCAAGTTGTGCGATTCTATGTAATGAAAGCACAGGTCCAGAACGTCTCGCTTGAAATGCGGCGGATCCACCGCCGGAAAATGCGCGAATGAAATCGAGAGTGCGCTACCAAAGTCGTCCTCGTCGTGCAGTCGCCGTATCAGCTCTACGAGAACGTCCTGCAGACGAGAGCAGAACAGCTTTTTGAAGCTGCACATGTCTGCGAACTCGTCGGTGTTGTTCATCAACTTGCGCATTGTCCTGGTAGATTCGTCATCGCATACGATAGTGCGCGATGTCAGCCAGACGAAGCAAGACGGGAAGACGTCTTCGAAGACCTCATTGAAGGCCACGCCGGCATGATTCACGCAGAAGGACATGGCTTCGTCGATGTTCGAAGTACGCAGTAGAACAGGGACAATGCAGTTGACATTCTTTTTAAAGAATTCGTCGATAGTCTCGCATCCTGTTGATAATAAGATCCCCCATTATTATTTAACAAACTCACGCCAAGTTACCCCTTACTAAATATTAAAATATTCGTGATAGCGGATGAGAAATACTGGTTTGTATTATATACAGGGTGGGCCATTTTAATCTATGCACCCAAATTTCTTTGTACCTAAGACAGATACGGAAAAATGGTTCAGACAAAAGTTGTTCAAGATAATGGGGGTCACCTACCTGTGTAACTAGCTTTGACCTTGAGACTACTTTTCAAGGTCATTTGAAGGTCAGAGTGGTTTTTTAAAATGAAAACCCCTATTTTTTATTACATATTCTTATAGCTTACCTCGAGAGCTTTCCAAAACGCTATAATAAAGTATTTTTTTTATTAAGAACTTTTTGTGTTATTAAGGTTTGAAAGTTCCAATATTTTGTCATAAATTACAAAATATTCATTTTTTTATCATCTTACCTTAATACTTTTTTGAACAGAATAATGAGACAAATCAACCGGTGTAAAGAAAACACAATTGTTAAAAAAAATGTTTTTTATTACTTGTTACAAAATTGTGTTTTCTTTACACCGGTTGATTTGTCTCATTATTCTGTTCAAAAAAGTATTAAGGTAAGATGATAAAAAAATGAATATTTTACAGAATATTTTGTAATTTATGACAAAATATTGGAACTTTCAAACCTTAATAACACAAAAAGTTCTTAATAAAAAAATACTTTATTATAGCGTTTTGGAAAGCTCTCGAGGTAAGCTATAAGAATATGTAATAAAAAATAGGGGTTTTCATTTTAAAAAACCACTCTGACCTTCAAATGACCTTGAAGAGTAGTCTCAAGGTCAAAGCTAGTTACACAGGTAGGTGACCCCCATTATCTTGAACAACTTTTGTCTGAACCATTTTTCCGTATCTGTCTTAGGTACAAAGAAATTTGGGTGCATAGATTAAAATGGCCTACCCTGTAGGTACATACATTGCATATATATTTTTTCTTTAATTCTATAAAATCGTAATAAAAAAAAGTCCCTAATTAGACCATTAATGGATGCTAAACGTTGAAAATTTTCGTAACACAATATTAAGTCGATAAATAACTGATGTAAAAAACAAAACCGCTATTTGACGTCTTCGTACCCGCGAGTGTCCATGGAAAACTCTGCAATGAGCAATGCGCATCCTCGATCCAGGAGGTCAGCAGATAGTTCAAGTTATCCTCAATGAGCGACATGTACGTCGTCGTATGTTGCGCCGCCACTAAGAGGACCTTCCGCACCGTCTGCACGTTCACCTGCTTCTCCGTTGTCAGTCGCAATATGGAAAACAGGGCGCGACCTTGAAGACTGCCGCTGGCGCACGCTACGGAGGCCAGCGCGATCAACGCGGTGGCCATTCTGGTTTCTCTCTCATCCTGCAGTTGACTCTCCGCGAGGCTGTTACTATTTCATAAAGACAAAAACAAGAAATTACAAGTGCTGGTACTCGCGACAACATTGTTGCTCTAAATCATGTACAAGTGTTCAAAATTGCAAGAAAAATAGATCTCAAGCTTTTATAAAAGATAGCGCTAGCCCATTTTAGTACCAGACAGTATTTCGCCGCACTCAATTTTAATATTCATACTTTTGCAAATTAGAACTCGATTGTTGGACCGCCTCGTCGAGCAGTTGGAACACAGTTTCCTCCACCTTGACGAAAATCTGTTCCTTCCATTTGTGAGCGATGTTTCTGAAGGACAGGAGCTCCTGCAAGCATCGCACTGCCTGCGAACGGAGCACGAAGAACTTGTCACCGATGTAATCGAGGATACTGTACAATATCGTCAGGACGCCGCCGCCGTCGTCGGAAACGCCCGTGCGAGCCCACGAGAAATCCGGATCAATCCGCACGCAGCTGCATGCACACTTCATGTAGCTCGTATGCACGAGGACGCTGCAGTTTTGTTTAGAAATGCGTTTATAGAGCTCCTCGAGCGCGTGGATGATCCTCTTGGGCGAATAACCGTGCTCGATCGCGTACTCGAAGAAGTCTGGCAGCAAATGCAATAGCCATCGTAACGATTCCTCGTCCTTGCAACCCTTCCTGCATATGTCCAGCAGAAGATCCAATGGCTTATCCGCACATTCGCGCTGGATCTTGCCGTGGCCGCGCGCAACGAGCGATTCGAGGATCGTCAGCGACATCCTGGTGTCCACGTAGCTCGTGAAGTCCTGCTGCATGGTCAGCAGGTTATGCATGATTTTTTTCTGCAATGTCTTGTCGCGGTCCGTGTCGGCGTGCAGAGCGCAAAAGGACGACAGAGCCTCCACGGTCTGCAGACGAACCGTGCCCTCGCGTGAACCGCTTGACTTCTGCTCTGATGTTTCCAGGCACATGTCGATGGACCGCTTGTGTCTGCCCTGAGAACATGGGACGTTGAAGTCGCTCATTAAAATCAATTTCTTCGTTATACAAGAACCTTTTAGTTGCCTAGTCTACCTGAAAAGCATTATGGTCCTCGTAATAACGGCAATTGTCGTCTTGATTCAGGAGATCGAATATGTTTTTTATCATGTCCATTGTAGTCGTCAAGACGATTACCTTGGCGATTTCTGTATCATAAGTCGCTCCATAGAGCATTTTTAATGCTCTGGTTACGCTCAGCCAGTATATATACTTAAACCTGCAAGGAAATATTTCATGTACATATGTTTGTACAAAGAACCCCGCACTAATCATATAGGAAATTGGATCTCGGTTAAATTGGCTAGTTTTCACATATGTTGTAGCTTATGACCTGCTGAACAAAAAAATATGATGGGCCCAAACTTAAATAATGGCTAGTTACTGAGCTACAGCCAGTCAAACATGGAAAATTTGGGCTCCGCGGGTCTTGTTTGGAAATGCTTTGAGGCATATTAGGAAAAAATGTTTCAGACAAAAGTTGTTTGGTTCGATATATATTTGTTTGGTTCGAAATAAGACTATATATTTCATTATCCAGTGTCTTTGAAAAACTCTTGACATAAAAATGTGCAGTGAAAAATGGGGGTGTCCATTTAAGAAATTGAAATTGACCCTCGTGTGACCTTCAAATGATTATCCAAGGTCAATGGCATCGTCTTATGTCTCCCTTCGAACCAAACAACTTTTGTCTGAAACATTTTTTCCTAATATGCTTCAAAGTATTTCCAAACAAGACCCGCGGAGCTAAAATTTTCTATGTTTGACTGGTTGTAGCTCAGTAACTAGCCATTATTTAAGTTTGAGCCCATAACATTTTTTGTTCAGCAGGTCACAATAAGCTACAACATATGTGAAAACTAGCCAATTTAACCGAGATCCAATTTCCTATATAATTAGTGCGGGGTTCTTTAAAATTGGAAGAAATAAGCAGAGAATAATAGTTTTAGCGCAGTTGTGCTAATCAGTGTAGCATGGTAATAACTACAAAACTTAGAGGTACCAAAGCATCGAACGTTTTCGTCTAAAATAAAAGAGAGAGAGAGAGAAAATAAAGGAACGTCTTCCACTCTATTAAAACTCGTATGCAAGCAATTCCGCACCTGGTCCAATCAATTTTCGTGAGAATCTCGAAGCTGCATTGCAGCTGGTTTTTCATCGCGTCGGTCAGCGAGCAGTAGCCAACGGTATCCTTCGTCGCGAGAATGCCCAGCTGCTTCAGAGCGGACAGCAGTCTCGTTAGGAACGCAAGCTTCATCAGCACGATGTAGACCTCGCATGTATTTTTACTGTGATCGCTGAAGTTGTCCTCTTGAATACCATCGTGTATTCGCCTCTTTAAGAAATTGAGCACCTCGTGTATGTAGGAGACAGGCCTCACAGTGTTGGGCGTCACTCTGGAATCCCGTTCGACATGCTTGTCGGTCGAACTCACCGACAACTCCACCTTGAATGTCAAGGAGGCGTGGCAGAGTTGTGGCAGATCAGTCGAATAGATGTCCTGATGTGGCACGAAAGAGACACGCATCGTCTCGCAGCTCCGCAACGATTTCTGCTCCGTCCTGGTATTTTGTCTGTAACGTGAGCTCAGAACGAGGTTCACCGACAACGTGCAGACATCTTCGATCGTCTCGATGGACAGACGCGTCGCCAGTTTCTGCCACGGTATATTCAGCAGCCACTCGAGAAGGCGCGTTCTGTCACAGATCGGCGCCGTCATCGACGTGGGCGACGGATCCAGCACCGACGTGCTTGCGTCCACCGGCAAGGAGACACGTTCGCACAGCTGTCGCAACGTGCACACGCTATACGCCGACCAGCGAATTACCTTTGTTAGATACAGCCTGAGGAGGGCGTTTGCATTTGGTATCCTGTTGTACTTGATAAAGCAGCGAATTAACAAATGGCCCGATTCCTCGTTCTGATTCGCTCCCAGAGATCTGCAAGAACAGTTCTGTTGCTAATTGCGACATTCAAGGCTAGTTATAAAATGTAACAATTAATGTAAATGTTGGAAGTAAACGCTACGTGTCTAAAAAAAACAAAGTTCCTTTAAAGAAAAATTCCTCACTTTAGTAAAATGATTGTTTCAATTAAAATAATTTTTTACTTTGAATATTTAAACTTGAATTTGAAGCACGTACCTAAGTAGCATATCCCAGATCTTGCTCCAGTGAATTGTGGCGTCCTGTATTTCCTCTCCGTGAGACATCTCGTTCTCCATGAGGATAGTGGCAAGAGTGTACAATATGTTCATAACAGGTTCGTCTCGAGATGGAGCGAGTTCCGTCAAGCGTTGCAGCAGGGGCGCGAGATCTTGCGACCTCAGGCACTGCGGATACATTCTTAGTGTTTCTGTCAGAATTCTTAACAAAGACCACACTTCCTCGGGGCTGCTCTCCGTTATCAGGTCGACGACGTTATCAATTCTGTACACTATTCGTCTGCGTTTCATCGATTGAGAATGACAGCCGTCGAGAGAGCAAGTAAAGTTATCCGAGTTGTCCATTATCTGTTTTATAACTGCAAAAAATATATAATACGTTTGTTAAATTAGTGACTTGTTCGCTTATGCAATTAAGTTATTCGGAGCTGATTTATGTTAAATGCTTTACAAAGAATCCCGTTCAGATGAAGAGTTTCTAAAGAACCCTGCATTAATCATATAGGAAATTGAATCTCGGTTAAATTGGCTAGTTTTCATATATGTTGTAGCTTATGACCTGCTGAACAAAAAAATGTTATGGGCTCAAAATTAAATAATGGCTAGTTACTGGGCTACAGCCAGTCAAACATAGAAAATTTAGGCTCCGCGAGTCTTGTTTCGAAATACTTTGAAGCATATTAGGAAAAAATGTTTCAGACAAAAGTTGTTTGGTTCGAAGGGAGACATAAGACGATGCCATTAATTTGACCTTGGATAATCATTTGAAGGACACACAAGGGTCAATTTCAATTTCTTAAATGGACACCCCCATTTTTCACTGCACATTTTTATGTCCAGAGTTTTTCAAAGACACTATATAATGAAATATAGTCTTATTTCGAACCAAACAAATATATATCGAACCAAACAACTTTTGTCTGAAACATTTTTTTCTAATATGGTTCAAAGTATTTCCAAACAAGACCCGCGGAGCCCAAATTTTCCATGTTTGACTGGCTGTAGCTCAGTAACTAGCTGTTATTTAAGTTTGAGCCCATTATATTATTTGTTCAGCAGGTCATAAGCTACAATATATGTAAAAACTAGCCAATTTAACCAAGATCCAATTTCCTATATGATTAGTGCGGGGTTCTTTTTTAGAATGTTGCATAGAAAACAATTTACATAATTAATACATAATCATAAAACATAATTAATAAAATAATCGATCTTCTAAAATATTTTCTCTACGCGTACCTTCACTGGCAAACTGGATGAAACTGCGCCACTGCACGTCCAACTTGCAGTTCTCCTGGATAAGCAAGTACATACTACGCAGCAACTCCCTCCATTTGCTCCAGTCGTACGCGTAAGCGCCATCGTCGTACTTAGAGATACCCATTGGATGGTGAATCTGCAGGAAGATCAACAGCAGCCTGTACTTTTCCTCGGAGCCGTTCAAGCGCAGGATATTCATCGACACGCCCTCGCTGAACTTGCAAAGCGCGATTCTGCATTCCGTCGCGACTTGCCGGCACACGCTGCTGCTCAGCTTGTAGAAAGACTCCGTCAACTGCTCGTTGTTCGCCTTCACGTCTTTGACTACCTCTTCTAAAATATGAAATAACTTGGCATTAGCTCGGAACGATATGTAATAAAGTTTATTTACAAAAATGCACCCTCGAGGTAGTGCTCAGAATAATCAAGCTTCAGCGCGTACCCAAAAACGACAGCAGATTCTTCACGTGGGACAGTAAATTCGCGTGCAGGAGGGAGTAATCTACGATCAACTGCAACGCGTCTAACACAACGTGGCTCTTGAGCTTCTTGTACAGCTTGGTGCAAACGGTCAATAGCTCCCTCCATTGATCTGCCGTGATACTGCTGTGATTTGTACTCTTGGGCAATATATACTTCACCAGTATTCCCAGATATGTGTTCTGATAATTCACGTAGAACTTAGAGTCCAGAATCTGCAATATTATACCGGTTATTTCACTGCCTCTCAGAAACTCAGCCGACCTCTCGCTGGCTCGGCGAATTGTGTTGATCATCAGACTACTGAGGGCTTGTCTCTCGTTGTTCTTGGCAGCCGTCTCTTTGCTGGGCCTCTCCGCTTCCTGCATTGTTTTCATTCAAATAAAATGTCACAAGGTGAACGAAATCTCAATGAAATAACACAAGAAACGTCGCAGGAACCACGTCCCATGCGAATCTCGATACACGGCGATTTCTCTTACATCGAGAACCAGCTGGTGGGCGGTGAATATAATGCTGGACCAGTTGGCCTTCCCCAAAGCCTTCCTCTCCGTATTCTGGCATATCTCCCCGACAGCGTCGTCATTTTGATACAAATCCAACAGCTCGGTCACGCATCTCTGAAAGTTGAAAGATAGGCAGATTAAAAAGCAATAGATTTGAAGAGGTGCAGGCTGCGGGATCTCTTGGAACTAACGGGACGTGCTTTCAACCAGACTTCCTCACTGACTCTTGGGGAAACCTGATACAGCACTCGGTAAGAACAGCCGAATCGAGATCAAGTCGTTTTAAATAACAGCTTCGTCGATTAACGAGACGGACGTCCGCAAACAAGACTGTCCTATTTTGTTTTACGCGGACCTTCAAGTCAAAGATTGAGACGTTCGATTTAGATCCGTATTCTGAATCCTCTGAATCGCCTACGATACTCGGAGTAAACTTGGCACCAGAGAAAACCATAACTTTGTGATTTTGGTGTAAGGAAACTAAAATACTGGCGTAATTTTTAAAAGATTCGTAACACTGGCCGATGGCGTTCTGATTCGCCGAGAGTGGGACACCGTAAGAGCTGAAGTAGAAGTAAGAAATAAAATTGATTTATTTCCTCACTCCTACTGCTCACTTTAGGCTTACTCCGTGCATTGTAGATGACGCGTAGAAGTAGCTTGTAGCCGATCAGAAGGCTGATTAGCCATAGAGCTTTTATCGATGCTTTATTAAAGCTTTTATTGAACAGAGGATTCAGCGTATAGGCTTCAGTTACCCGGTTAAGCAGGGTGACTGCTTTGTACGCACATGGATTCTGTAACTTGCAGTCGGTGGTTATCGCTAGCCAGAGGCAACCTATGAAAGCTGCGCTTTTCTCAAGAATCGTCTTTGCCATTGGCTGTCGCTAATTGACGACGCCGAAAATCATTGATAACAAGCTACGGAATTCTCGTGCTGATATAAATAACAAGAAATAAAAGCGGCAGCAGTGGTTACCCTCTTGTCAGTCAGCTTCGAACTCTCAGCTAGCTTCAGAATGCTGGAGATTCTCTCGGATATTCGCGACATAGTCACCCCGGTGGTCCAGTGATCGTCGGCGTATTAACTGCAAAAGGAATTTTATAGAAAATGACATGGGATTCCAATGATTGTTCGCGAAACGTGAAACGTGACGGCAACGTTTGATACTCCCGCGAAATGCCGCCAAGTTCTGCTTTTCACCATAGAACGTCGGCGGAAACTAGACAGCCAGCAGACGTGCGTGCATGCGCGTAAAGCCTATCACACAATGCCAGGCAACAGGCAATAGGAACAGGGAATAGAATTTTTGACGCGTTGGATTCGTCGAAAATTTTCTTCCAACCAGTCCAACGCGTCAGAAATTCTATTCCCTGTTCCTGTTGCCTGTTGCCTGACATTGTGTGATAGGCTTTAAGCCCGTATCAGACTATAGGCCTTGTTTACACCGATCGTTTGATACGCGTATGAGGTACTATATTCGTACTAA